AATCTTTCTACCTGTAATGAAAGACACATTAATAAAGCCCAGGGGACATGCAGATGTTTAGCTCTTCCTCACCCACCTGCATCTTGCACAACTGACACTGAAAGACAACAGCTCCTCAGGTCAAGCAAGTACAGGTTGTGTGTCTAGTTCCAGTTGGTGAAGGGGCAGGTTCTCTGCTTTCATTGGCCCAAAGCTTCTCAAAGGCAGGAACTGAGAAGTCCGACTGCAGTGTCCCTTTCCAAACCACAGGGACAGGGAAATCACCCAGGCTTTTTCCTGCTCTGAGCCCCACAACTGGTCTTGGCAGAAGACAGAAGTGAAATACAGATGCAGCCACTGCAGCAAGCCAAGAGGTGAAAAGGCAGGCTCCCGAGAGATTCAGTCAGGTGGGAACAGGGGGCTACAAGGCTTAAAATGTCCAAAGCTTGTCAACCAAAGCTGAAGAGGAGCCTGAGTCGAGCCCGCTGAAAAGCCCTGCCCTCTATTAGCTGGGCTCTCGCTGACTTTGGTGAGAGGTTTATTCATTTCCCAACACGCTATTCCAAAGGACCCACTGTGCACCAGATGCTGTCACAGGGAGACCCACACGCACACACCTCAGTGCCTCTCTGTGCCCTTCCTAGGAACAACTCTGAAGTAGCCATTGTACCAGTTATGCACAGGGGCAAATGGAGCCTCTGAAATTCCAGTGATCGGCCAGCAAGAGGCTCTCTACACCACTTGCATTCCAGTCATTCAGACCCCTTCCTTTCCCTGTTGATGGCTGCAAAAGGTGCCCAGCACTAGATTCACCTCTGCAGGCAGCAGCATCCTGCAGTTCTTCCCTACATCCCCACCCTCACTGAGTGCCCTCCTAGGTCTCAGCAGGTGCCCTCTCCTTTTTGAGCAGACCTCACTATCCCCTTAGCTCTTTTCCTGGAACTGAACTGTGTGTCCACTCTCTCCCATGCTTCCCTCTTGCCTCCCAGGGAAGGCAGAGGTCAGGATTTTTCTTTCCCTGTGCTTGCTCTTGATGGACTCTGGCTTCATCCCCAATCCCCAACACCCCTTGTCTGGCTTCTCCATTCTCTCCACTTCTCATTTGCTTACTAAGCATGCCTTTGAGGGGACACTGGGGGAATCTCCTGAATAAACCTCCTTCCAGCACTCCTGCCTACTCCAGATACTCTGGAGTATCTGTTACTGGCGCACTGCTGGAACCAGCTTGCTAACTTGCTCATCACTTTTTCCCTTATCCCTTGTGATTTGGCTCAGCACCATCCTTCGCAGACTCTTCTCAGCCTGTCAACAGTCTTTCCCTCCCATCCCTCTGGGTGTCGGGGCTCTTAGACTTTCCAGCCTGTCTACCTGTCTGCCTGCCTCCCTCAGGGGCTTGTCTAGTTGGCTCTTCCCATCTCTGAAATATAACCTGTGCTACTTGGCACTGTGGGGACACTTTTATTTTAATATTTATATTTACTTATTTTGAGACAGAGTCTCTCTTTGTAGTGCAGGCTGACCTTGAACTCACTATGGAGCCCAAGTTGGCCTCAAACTCACAGCGATCCTCCTCTCTCAGCCTCCAGAGTGCTGGGATTACAGATGTCTACCACCCTGCCTGGCTGTGGGACACTTTTGAAGGTAGAAAAAGAAAAAAAGAGGTTAAAACGGTTGAGTCTCCAAGTTCACACTCTCTTTTTGAGCTTGGCACAGATCTTTTGTGGGCTCATTTTCCTTGGGATTTCTTCCCTTGTGGTTACACTGGATTGGACCTGGGGCCACCTTTGGATTGCAAGCAATATTCCCTACCATCATGGTCTGAGTCACTTAGGCCCATGCAGTCTAGGCCAAGGAAGTACCCCCAGCTCTGTGTAATCTTGTCCAGTCCATGAGGCCTGGAGTTTCCAAGTGAGGGTTCAGATAATACCTCTCGTAAAATGAGCCTAGGGATTTTCCTCCTGCTTCTCTTCCTTTCTAACCTAGGGAAGTTGATGAGCAACTGTTCCGGGTTATCTGGACATAAACAGTATAAGGTCCTGGAGTGACAGGTCCAAGGCTGCTTGTTGAGCAGGCTCACAGGGGACTGAGGAGCAGAGAGGGGGTTTAAAAGTAAACTGCTCAACACCTCCTAGAGAACAGCAGAGAGTCACAGAAGAGGAAGTGGACCTTGAGCTGGATCTTGAAGAATGATCAGTTTATCAGGATGATGGGGAACGAGAGTATATTCTAGGAGCCAATCCCTATTGCTGCCAACCAAGAAAAATAGCTTTGCAAAAATCACAGCAGATCATGTAGTCTATGCCTTGTAATTGTATGGATCTCTCTCTCTCTCTCTCTCTCTCTCTCTCTCTCTCTCTCTCTCTCTGTGTGCGTGTGTGTGTGTGTGTGTGTGTGTGTGTGTGTTGGGTGATAGAGATCTGAGGAGTGCACAGAATTTGGATTTTATCTCACAGGAAGCCACTGATAGGTTTTACAAGGAGCTATAATGAAGAGTGAGACACAGGAGTCTCCAAGGATCTCTCCTAGTTACTGATTTGTCATATGTTAAATCCCTAAAGTCCCTAGTTTAGTCCCTATGCACTGGTGCACATACCCTGCAAGTGACCTTTGTTTCTGCTGTCCAGCTCTAACTGAAGTCTGCACTTGGAATCCATTTCTTTCTTTCTTTCTTTCTTTTTTTTTTTTTTTTGTCTTTTTAGTTTTTATCAGTACCAGGGATCGAACTCAGGACTGCCTGCTTGCAAGGCAGGCGCTTATGCCACTGAGCTAAATCCCCAGCTCCTTGGAATCCATTTCTGACAAGCCTTTCCCTTCTTCCTAGAAGCTGCCTCCCTGCACCATCTTATTGCAAGAACCTTCTCACTGGGTTCCTGACTCCCAAATCTTTCTGAAAGAACAAAGTACATTCTTCACCATGACAGTCCCTTGCAAAAAACTAGATTTCTCCTGTCCTTAGCTCAACCCTTTGCCCCACTGAACCCAAAAGGCTTAGTCCTAACTCAGGACCAAATCTTTCGGCACATATCTCTTCTACCTAGGACCACTTCCAAAAGGGTTTCAAATTCACTTAGTGTAGCGAGGTGCAGTCGCTGATCTGTATCATTCCAGCTACCTGGAAGGTTGAAGCAGGAGGATTGTAAGTTTGAGGCCAGCCTAGGCAATCTAAGGAAAGCCCATCTAAATAATAATTAATAATAATAGGCTTGAGTACAGGTTAGCACTGTCTGAGTTTAATACCTAATACGGGGGGAGGGAAGCTACTTCTTTTTCCTCCATACTCCTCAAATGTTTTATTTGGACTACACCTTATTTTATTCATCCAATTATCCTTTCATTCCTTCATCCAATAAACAGGAGCACCTACTACGTGCCTAAATGCACTGGTTTACATCATAGATTTCCATAGATTTCTCTTGCTTACCCCGCTAAGTTGAAACCCAGGCAGCAAGGAAGGTGCTTCTTCCACCTATGCATATCCCCCTGGAAGCTCTAAGCCCAGCCAACCACAGGTACTCCAAAAATAAAATGATTGAAATGAATAGGGAAATTAGCATACGTTTCCTTAAATAGTAAACTGTCGTAAGTGCATGCAAAATCAATTTCAATGATAGATTTAAAATATGATTCAATATTCTTCTAGGAGCATATTAACTATGTCAAGGGGGGTGCACTTACACCCCTTCCATGTTTCTGGTTCTTCCTCTTACAGTACCTGTCACCTCTCAGTCTGTACCCCATAAAATACCAACTCCCCAACACCAGGTGGCTTTATAAGAGCAGTTCATGGCCCAACCTAACGCAAGAAGGAGTTGATGAGCCAGAGGTTTGTTCTGAGACATTCTGTTCCACCCCCACAGGCAGCCCTCCCACACCGCACCTATCAAGCTGCACTACCTACTTCACGCCCACCTGCAAGTCACAGACCAGAAATGCTGGCCCAGTAGAATCAGTCCTAACGCCCAAGCCCGCAGCAGGCTGAATGTGGGCAACCTCCCTAGAGCAGACATGAGGGTCCAGGGCAGATCCTTTTCTGCAGACACTGTGACCACCTCTATTGCTTCATCATTAATTGTCAAGGGAACACACAGTGCAACAGATTCGATCGGTGAGGGAGGTAAGAGGCTGGACCCAGGTAGTCCCCCAGCACTGCTCACCCCGTCACCAAACGGAGGTCTGGACTCTGGAATGCCCTAGTGCCTGTCATTCAGGTCTCTGCCACCAGCCCATGCCACCAGCCCATGCCAGACCCCGTGCTCTTCACACCCCAGTGTCCCTTATCAAGGTCTCTCCTGTTGAGGACAGCTTCCTGGCAAACTCCCGCCAGGCGCCCTCTTCCCTCCCCTACTCAATTCAGCCTTGCGTTTTAATGGATTATCCAAGGATCAAGGAAGACTGGCAGCCGGAAGATTTAAAATGGAAATGGAAATCTGAAGTTAAGGGAGGGACCAGGTTTTGGGAAAACCTCGACTTCAGAGGGAAAGATTTCCCCACTGGAACCTTCCCCATCTCCCTGGCAGATGCCCATACCCAACCCAAAGATGCCCTTGCTCTTCGCGCGGCCCCTCCAGTCCTTCGCCCCGCGCACCCCTTCTCCCGCGGGAAGGAAGCTAGGGACTAAGAAGCGCGGGAGGACGTTTCGAGTCAGTCCCCGAGGCCGGCGTACCTTAATGACCCGCTCTCGGAGGAGCAGGGGGCCAGATGCCCGCCCGGAACCAGCGTTCCTGACCCCGGCATTACCGTCCCCAGTGAGCCCCCGGTTGTGCCACTGTCACGGTCGGCTCGGTCCAGCCAGCTCTTCTCCGCACTCCTTTCCCCCCAGCGGATGCCGGACGAGTTTGTACACCCAACGCGGGACCCCGTTACGAGCACCCCACTCACCGCCGTGCAGGCGCTGGGACTCCCGCGCCCGATTTGTCGCTGAACTTTCCCCGGCACATCCACACGGCCTGGGGGTGCCAAGCTCCCCGCGCCCCGCGCCCACCCGAGCCCCGCGTCCGGGCTGCCGCGGACTGCGGCTTCACCTGCTGGCCGCCGGCGGAGGCTCCCGCTGCTCCCGGCGCGCAGACCAGGCGCCGCCCGGCGGTCCCCGCGCAGCTGCTCCTCGGCGCCTGCCTGGGGCTGCGGCGCTGTGGTCCGCCCGCGGCGCCCGAGGCGCGATCCCGGCCTCTCGGCGCGGCCCGCGGCTCCCGGCACGTCCGCGGCAGGCTCCCCTCCGCGTCCCCGGCCGGGCTAACGCGCACCGGCACCGGGAGTCAGATCCTCGCGGGCGGCGCGGGGATCCTCCGAGCCTCAGGATGGGCGGGGATTCCCTCCCTCCGGTTGATTCGAGGGGCGGGAACTCCCTTCCTGGAGTGACAGGGATGGGGGCGGGGATTCCCCCGCAGGAAGGACGAGGTGGGCGGGGATTCCCCCGAGCCAGCTTCTGGGCGGCCAGGACGGCTCTCCGGGTGAACCCGCTGTCCGGGTGCGCCGGCTTCACAAACCTGGGGATCCCGGGAGGAAAGGATCCAGGGAGAAAGTGGCTCCGAAATTCCCAGCAGGCGGGCCTTCCCAGCAGGGGCGCCACCTAGGTGGAAGTGTGCGAGCTAGGGGACTTAAAGTCCCTTGTGCATAGCATTTTACAGAGATAGCCTACAGAAAAATGCCCATGCAGGAGTGCCTCATCAGAGAATGAGTGGAGAGCCTACGGGAGATAAGACCAAATTGGCCCCTGGCCTTAGACAGTAAAATTAATTTAACATCGGCGCGAGAATTTCGGGAGAGGGACCTCTTGGCCCCTAGAGCTGCTTACATCCCCCAGTTGAAGGCCCAGAGGGAATCCCCCACCGAGACGGTGACTTTGAGACCTGGAGCTTGCCTGGGGACTCCTGCTGAGAGGACAGTGGCTGCGAATACCAGTCACCCATGGCCTCGTTCCAGGTCACTCAAGGAACAGAAGCCCTAGGATTTTTGGATCCTTCCTTCCTGCGGATTTTCAGGAAGGCCTTCGAATATTTTTGGTGGGTTTTTTTTTTTTTTTTTTTTTTTTTTTTTTTTTTGTCATCCTTGTCATTCTGCCTGCCACAGGGAGAGGATGATAAGAACATAATAGGGAGACTGCATAGCTCTGCAAATTAAGCTCTCTTAAGAGGAAAGAGCTGGCCTTTTTCAAGTGCTAGCAGATAAGAGTAAAAACATATGAAAAATTACAAAACCTGAGATAACGAATAGTTGAACAATGCTTTTGACATTTTCTGCTGAGCAGTAATTGGAAATCTTTGCTTTGAGGGGCATGGGGATGGGGTGGGGGTGGGGTGGGGCATAGTTGGGCTGCAGCTTTGCCCAGCAAGGCAACAAGCTCTGGTCTCTTGGAAAAACAGGTGGACATAAATCACCTGCACAGACTCCTGGGAGCTGCCCACAGCATCGGAGATGGGAGTGGTCCCCAGACATTTTGAACTGTATTTTGGGCAGGGTTTGGGGGACAGGTCAGCTTCAGTTCTTCAGCTTTTACAGTTACCAGCCAGTGAGATCAAGGCCTGCACAAATCCAACTGTCTTATATTAGGAGCTGTGTCCTCTCAGGCAGCCAAGCTTCTCTTCCTATTTGCAAATAGGGGAAACACCTAGCATGCAGAATTGCTGCAAGGCCCAGCAGTAACATTGCTATTCAGCTCAGCACTTAGGAGGAGCTCAGTGAAATGGTAACTTGTTCTGAAGATATTATTGGGATACCCCAAAAATGCTTCCACATTGTAGAGGACCTGTGCCTTTCTGCTTGTTTTTCAGACCCAGCTTTGTCTTCCACCACTCTGTCAACTCTGGAGTCATGACAGCACAGCTTGTGTCTCTCAGCCTCTGTATCCTGAACATGGTACAGGTCTACTTCTTCCAGCATCCACTAAAAATTCACTGAATAAATGAATGTGCAAGTGGAATTACCACCAAAATCACACTCACTATGATGTCTCACCGCTCCACTGCGGTCCTTCCATTCTGGCCATGTGCTGCTAACCTGTTTCCTCTGCCAGAACGACTTTCTCACTCTCCTGGGTTTGCTGCAATTCCAGAGTTAAATGCTGCATCTTCTAGGAAGGCCTGTCTGAGCTCCAGCGCCAATATCCGATGTGCTCATCCTGATTAATTGCTGCAAGGGGAGCTCTTTCTGCCAACTGCTAACATAACCCTTGTCAGGTATAACATGTTATAGCCATCAAAGTACCATCTCACATATTCCCAGCTCATGAGGTCCTGCAGGGAAAAGAACCTAGATCTTATTGTTTGTTTCCAGAGTCCAGTGTTCAGCCTGATAGCCACTCAGTAAATATTTGCTAAATTAAAATGAATTGTTATATGTGTATGTCAGTATAATGTATTATCCCAATATAATATAAATATATAAATATAAATATAATATAATATAAATATAATAACCTGATAGCCATTCAGTAAATATTTGCTAAATTAAAATGAATTGTTATATGTGTGTGTCAGTATAATGTACTATCCCAATATAATATAAATATAATATAAATATAATAAGCAGAGGTACTATTTTATCATCTTTCTCCTTTAGACTTTGTCCTGCTGACCTGCTTAAAATACTTCTAGTTTCAATCACTTTTTCTCTGATATTTTCAGATATTTTTTGGTAAGTTCTTGGCTGCTAATAATAGCTCTCAACTCACGAGGGGTCAATCAAATGCATGGAAATTTTGTTTTGCCCTGGCAGTCTTGTCAAATTGGAAAGATGACAACTGAAGGCATTTATTTTCCAGTGTTTGAAGGTCAAAATGTAAATCCTTTCTGCCCCCTTGTTAAATATTTAGTCACAGATTGGTGCTTCTATCTATTTTGCCATTTTAATTTGTTGCTCATAATACAAGACGTGGAGGAGGAGGTTGTATATGAAAGAGCCAAGTCTTAAAAGCAGGGAAAGACTGAAATGATGAACAAAAAACAGAAATCTATTGTCCTTGGCTACAGTGTATCAGTGACAGGTAAAAGAATGCAATGTCCTTTAGATAAGACCACGGAGTTTGCCAGGGACTGCAGCGGGATTTGGTTTGCCTCCGAGCTTTTTACCTCTGTGAAGAGTCTTCCCTCCAGGTAGCTGGCATGGAAACCCGAAGCTTCCTCCTTTCTTGAGAAGCCTGCTTTCCATCTCCTCTTCTCTGCTGCTCTTCCAAGCACTTTTCCAGGGAGAAGGAACCTTAATCAACAACTGGCCTGGTTCCCTTTCTCCTCCCAACCTCTGGGGGTTCATTTTATCTGCAACCAGATTCTAGCTTCCTGTTTACCTAGCTAATTACTGTCCTTCCTTTTGTCTGTAAATTTCTGGCTAGCTAAATCTTCTACTCCTCACCTCATACTGGAATGAGCCATCCCCTGGCAAAAAACAAAAAACACTTAAGCAAATAAACATAGCACAACAAAAACTAATAATGGCAGGAAAATATTAATTCAGTGCCTTCCACTCAGGGCTCTTTCAGGACTCCCTGGAGATTTGACAATTCAGATACTCTAACCCCTAATCCCTGAAATTACCAGATTCTAGGTTTTTGTTGGGGGAAGATCTTTGATGCCTTGTTCTTAACCTGAACCCCAGTGGCTGCAGTTTGGATAACCCCTAAACCATACCCAGAGAAATTCGGAAGTAGAATGACGTAAAATGAGAACGGCTGGACATGGTGGCACATACATGTAATCCCAGTACGTGGGAAACTGAGGCAGGAGGATCACGCAAGTATGAAGCCAGCCTAGACTACCTAGTGAGTTCAATGCCAGCCTGAACTAAGTAGCGAGACCTGTCTCAAAAAAAAAAAAAGCCCAAATTCACGTTCATTTTCCAATATTTGATCATTGTAATCATAGATTTTATTTTAAATCTTGGATAAATATTTTGTAATATTTATTTAGTATTGACTTAATCTTTTGTTAGCCAATACACAATACGGATTTGAGGCAGGCTCTTCTAAATTATGTGTTTAGGAAAGCTGGGCATGATGGTGTTATAGGCCCTGAGTTAGATAGAAATTAACAGGCAGGCAGACAGGCAGGCAGACAGGCAGGACCCTCGAGGAAGTCAGCGCAGAAGATGAGCACACATTCCAACTGCAGCTGGAGAAGGCAAACCTCGTACTAAAGTCACAGGGGCCTCACTTACATACTTCCCTAAAGGACCACCCTTTCGGAGTTTCCCACAAAAATAGACCATTATCTCACTAAGGGTGGGCCATCCTTCCCCACCCACTAAGACTAAGACTAAGACTAAGACTAAAGCTAAAGTTATGACTAAGATTAAGGCCAGGGTTAATGATGTCATCCACATGTCCTTGCTACGTTCCCCCAACAGTGAATATTGATTCACTATTGTATCCATATTAGCTAAGCAGTTGTACTTGTATCTTATTGGTTGACCTATTTGTACCCACCTCATGACTGCCCTGTAAAACAGTCTCTGGAGAAATGACCTCGGCAGCAGCCCACTCAGAACTCCTCCCGTCTCTCAGGAGCTAGTCCTGTTTCCCGGTCCTGTTCCCCAGCTCCCAACTGTGCATGCGTCATTCCTTTGGTCATCTGTGGACCCTTCTTGAATGACTTGTCTCTTGCTCTTGCTCGCTCTCTCAATAAATCTCTTTTTTTCGGCTTTTAAAAAAAATTTTATTTAAAAAAAGACTAAATAAAACAGAAAATGGGGGGCTGGGGATTTAGCTCAGCGGCATAAGTGCCTGCGTTGCAAGCAGGCAGTCATGAGTTCGATCCCCCGGTACCGGTAAAAAGGAAAAAGACAAAAAAAAAAAATAAAATAAAATAAAAACAGAAAATGGGTAGAAATAATACATACGTTCAAAGAAAAAATAAACAGTAAAAAATCACTAGTGATGTTTACATACTGTCCTCTTATAAATAGTTATTCATATACAAAAGTGGAACATATAAAGTGAGAATTCAAACCACGAGACTGCAGTTCTGTTCAACTATCCAACAAGAATTTAGTAATATGGTTATCAATCCTATACACTTAAACATACATGCAGTTATCGATATCTTCATTTACGTTGAGATTAAACAAACTAAAGCAAGCTAAAATCATTCTGAACAAAGAATAATAGTATTGCTGGATTTCACATCATGACACTCCGAGATCAGCACCGGGTACTGTAGTGTCTTTTTTTAAAATTTTATTTTATTTAAAGAAAGACTAAACAAAATAGAAAATGGGTAGAAATAATACATACTTTCGAAGAAAAAATAAATAGTAAGAAATCATTAGTTGATGACTACAGATTATCCTTTTACAAATAGTTATTCAAGATACTAAAGTGGAGCATATAAAATGGGGATTCAAACAGTGAGACTGCAACTATCCAACAAAAACTTAGAAATACGGTTATCTATCCTATACATTTAAACATACATGCAGTTATCCATATCTTCAATTATGTTGTCTCTCTCAATAAATCTTTTCCACTCTTAACCTCCACTGTTCCTTGGAATACATTCTTTGATTCTGGGAAATATGAACTTGATATGTCAGAGAGTCCTATCATTCCTATATCAGAGGCATATGCTTATAATACCAGCACTCAAGAGGCCAAGCAGGACGATCACTGTGAGTTTGAGGCCAGCCTGGATTATATAAGCCATCCTGTCTCAAAACAAATTAAAACAACCAAAAAAAAAAATTTTTTTTTTTTTTTGCCTTTTTCCTTTTTATCGGTACCAGGGATCAAACTCACGACTGCCTGCTTGCAAGGCAGGCGCTTATGCCCCTGAGCTAAATCCCCAGCCTCTAGTTTTTTTTTTTAAGGCTAGTCAAGTGAAGCAGTGGGAGTGGAGAAGGAACAAAGAAATCTGTAACTGGCTGTGATCAATTAGTTGTTGCCCAACCAAAAAAATTTTTAAAAATACATGTTTAAGGGAAAAATTTAAGTACTCTTTATCCTATGTATATTGAAACTGAAGTGGAGTGTGGTGACCAAGTAGGATTACATCTGTAATCCCAGCATTCTGTAAGCCTGAGTCAGTAAGGTCTCAAATTCAAGCCTCTCCACCGCCATAATGTTCTATTAAAAAAAAAAAAAAAATTCAAGCCTAACCTGGGTAACTCAGCAATTCAGGGAGAATTTGTCTCAAAAATAAAATAATAAAATAAGCTGGGGTGTGGCTCAGTGCAAAGATCCTGTGTTCAATCTCTAGTCCCCTTCTCTCCAAAGATGAGACTCATTGTACTTGGGGCATTTTATTGGAATTTATATAGCCATGCTCTGTCATTTCCAGAGAAACAGGATTTGTGATGTCTGTTTTTTCCTGGACAAGATACGCTATTCGTGTGTTCAGGCAACTAGGCTAATGTATCATTTTCTTTCTTTGGCTCTCAGTCTTCTGTTTATACCAAGGAAGCATTGATTGCCAGGGTAACTTTTTTGTACATTTCATGGCAGAAAAAAACCGGCAAATACAACTCAGATATTACTTATCACTGTCACAATTTATACAGAAGGTTCAAACATTCTATAAAAAGTTACAAGGCTATCCTGAGGGCCTGAGGTGCAGCTCAGTAGTGGGGCCCTTGCCTAATATGTAAAAGCCCTGGGTCTGTCTTCTATACTGGAAAAAAAAGGCGTGTAAATCCAAGTACACTCTTAGAGACTTCAGTGACATTTTGTTCACTCCTGAGCTTCCTTGGTTCACAGGCTTATGTCACCAACAAAACAAGGCCACAAAAAATCAGAAGAGAGGGAAACAGAGAGGTTCTGTTTTGATTAGCATAACCAGTGCTTTGCATGTCTAAAGAAAAGCTATTGTAGTGCATGGACACAAAGGTTTTGTTTCATAGCTGGCCTTTGTCTTTGTTTTTATTTACACTAGAGACAGGATTTGGAAGTGAGTCTTCTTGGGATTTAGAGCTTCTATCACATTAGAACAGTTGTGTTCCCAGAAGCCGAGAAGCTCAGGTCCTTCCCTATACCCTGCTCTCATGTAGTTGCAATTCCGTCAAATCACCGAGTCCCCCATAAATAAACTTCTGGCAACCTCTCTCATTTTGCGCAGAACACATCCTTATTCCTACCTCGTATCTCCTCTGCTGATTGTTCTTGTTCAGGGCTCTACCACATGCTTATGAAAAGACATCATTTTAAGTCAATCAGACGCTATTTTTGCTCCTTCATCATTACTTCTACTCCAAGATAGTTGTGCTGAATAATCTCCAAAACTGTAATTATAAACATAAATATATTGCTTATCTCGCTATTTTGTTTTTTTTTTTTCTTTCAATTTTGCTTCTTGTCTTCTTAACATTTTTCTAGTGTTAGCACTTGTCTTTAATTGTACAGCTAACATGAACACAGAAACTAAAGTCAGCTAAATGATACTCATCTCAAAAAAGGAACAGAGAGCAGGCACTGTGCTCTGGAACCAATCATGATAACATAGTATGGTGTGCTGGTAATCTCTGTCTAGTTTTGCTAAAATGAGTATAATGTTACCTGCTAGAAGTAAATCATATTCACAACTTTTTGGCATGATTTTGAATTAGTGGGCCAAACATTGCAAATAGATACTATATCTTTGTTGTATTCAAGAGTGCCAGCCAGCCAGGCACAGCGCCCTATACCTGTAATCCCAGAACTCAGAAGGCTGAAGTAGGAGGATCACAAGTTTGAGGCCAGCATGGAACACACGGTGAGAATCTGTCACAAATGAAAAAAACAAGCACTAGTTAGTCAGATCCACAGAAAGCTGCACCTTGGAGGAAAATCTAAGGCAGAGTTGGTAAGCTAAGCAAGATTTGGTAAACACTAGGTCATTGTTAACTTGAAGATATGTAAAAACATCTCATTTAGTTAATTTAGCAAATGCTTAGAGCTACCTTTTTCTAACAGTTCATCTGAGTAGATTCTCTGCTGAGGATTTAGCTAAGTGGCATATATTACTGTCTGGTAAGTGTGAGGTCATGAGTTCGATTCACAGCACCAAAAAACCCAAAACCAAAAACCAAAAAAAAAAAACAACAACCCAGAGTAGAGTCTCAGTTGGCTGCATCTTGAAATACATCCAGAGTATCACGCTCTTGGTGTCCTTTATTTAATTTTCTGGATCCATCTTATTTCTGGTTAATAGAATGCCACAAAAATATTTAGATGCCATTTTTCCTCTCCCTGTTAAAATTTTCATGAATCCCAAGAGAAATAAATCATCTTTTCCTCCTTATCATATACGTACCAGCAAAGCAAATAAAAGCTTTAAAATAAATAATTTTTAATAAATAATCTGACCACTTGGGAAAAAAAAAAAAGAAAGAAAACACAAAAGACCAACGTCTTTGAATTCTAAAACCCAAAGGAAAAGGAGAGAGTATGGTTTCTGTGAGTTGCCTTTGAAGCTTTATTGACGGATACAGCATATACTTCAGAAAGGTAGTGGAGATAACCAAGTGACCTTTCCTTTACCTATCATCTTGGCAATGCTAATTCTATGTATTATATAACACATAATGCCAGGTTTTCACAACCAAAACACCGTATCTCAAGACTATGACCTCTATATATCTTATAATTCTTTTTCCCTGCTTGGGAACTTTTCTATTTCTGTGAACGGGTTTTTTGTATCACCTGTGCAATCTCCTGCTTTTTCATTGACTCTGATCCATCTTATGTTATTCTTCTTTGCATCATCTAACTTCTGTGGGTTTGATTTTTCATGGTTGCTTGCTATTTTTAAGAAATCTGTTTTTTCATGATTGCTAACCATAGTCCTGTCTTCTACATCTGATATTCTGTCATCACATTGGCTCATTCTGCTGTGCATAATTGCAATAGAATTTTTAATTTCCTGGATATCTGCTTGAATCTGTCTCATGGATTCTACTACTTTCCTATGTTAGGCATTCATAGTTTCCATCATTTTCCTAAGCTCCTTGGTATTCTTTTATCTGTATCTGCTCTAGAATTGCTAACCATGTCTTTCATTATGGTCACCATCTCTGTAGTTAACTGAGAAGTTATTTCTGATTTGATAATTGCTAGGGCTTCAGTCATCTGCTCTATTATTCCCGCTGTTACCATCTAAGAGAATTGGGTGGGTGGCTTTTGAATTATTCTACTTCATTTCCCTTGGGTTTGCCTTTAGTGAGCTGGAAGTCTGGGGATGCATCTTGTTTAAGTGTCTTCTCATTTTGTATTTATCTTTAGTTTAATTCTTAGGTTGTTGCTTGTAATTGCTTATGGTAGGTAGCTTTATTGCTAGTATTTAGAACCCTTAGGAAATGACTACTTAGAAATGTCTTCCAGGGCTGGGAATTTAGCTCGGTGGCATAAGCGCTTGCCTTGCAAGCACGTGGTCGTGAGTTCGATCCCTGGTACCCCCCCCCAAAAAAAAGAAATGTCTTCAGTTATAGCTGGATTTTGAGTTTTGAGTAGGTTGCAAGATACTACTGCTTCAATTTATTGGGGATGAGAAGATGCTACCTACTTGGCCTGTCCCCTTGTTCTCTGACCCTTAGGCAGACTCAGTCTTGGGATACCAGGAAGAACAACTGGTTTGGACAATGATGTCATCTTGGCTAAAGTAGTACGATCAGCAGTGGCATAAACATAGCCAAGAAAATAGCAAACAAACAAACAAAAAAAAGCAAACTAGCACTATTAGTTTGCCACTTTTAATCATATGAACTAGATTTGTGGTTATATAACACAATCTAACAATCCAGAAAATTGTGTACTGTAAATAAACCCTCAATATGGTGGTTTTACCCTCAGGGGAGAGAACTTAAAAGGGGTGAGCAGGGAAAAGTAGAGAAATAGAGACGATGAAGAGATTAAAAACAAGGGCGGGGGACAAAGGAAGATTATGCAAACTTTGGGAAACTAGTGAAGAAGAGAAAGAGAAAAGGAAGAAGTAAAAACAAGAACAGAACAACTACAAAAAACTGAAAGCAATGTTCACACTCATGTAACAATAAGAACAATCAAGAAAAGAAAACAAAAACAAAACCAAGTAAAGAAAATAGGAAAAAAAATGTCCACTTCAGGGAGTATCTCCACACTGGTAGACAGAGTGGGCAGAGTCCAGATCCATGTTAATTAATCCCAGCAGGCCAGCGGTAGATTTACAGTAGGGTAGTACATAATCTCAGCAAGCCTAAACCTTTACTGAAGTTCAGGCTGGTTTCTGGTTGTGAGGCTGGAATCCTATTTGTTCAGTCTGCAACACTCAGTGTGCATCCTCTGTCTTGAACTCAGTTCCCTCCCAGTTTGAACTTAGCTCCTTGACTGGTTGTGTACTTGAAGTACTGAGCTAAGGTAGCCCTGCTCCAAGATGGCTACTGACTGACTGCTCCCTTGGGGGATGTCTGAATTCAAATAACTCACCAGCTACTGCAGTCCAGTCACTATTCATCTGCAGATGCAAACCATCCTTCCCATGTAGAGAGTCAGGGCTCAGAGAGAAGCACCACTTGCCACCTCCTTCTTCTGCACTGAGGTCTCTCTCTTTGATCTCCATAGGCTTCAATTTTTCTTCAGATCTTTTCTTCCTCACGGTATTTTATTCCAGCATCTGGACACCAAATCTTGGAGAGGCTCTTTTTCTGCTGCTCACCATTCCATAATTCTCCTAAAAGCCCAAGACTGTGGACTGTAAAGATGGAGACTGACTTGGAGGACTGCAGGCACACATATTTGCTCTCATGAATGGTGCAGGCATAGCGTTGTTTCATGCCCTTGTAGAGGAAATATTCTCCAATGAAGATAGTAGACTTATAAATCAATTCCTTATGATAAATTCCAATTGCTCCTCAAAGAATTTTGTTTTTCTTATTAAAGTCCTTTGAAATGTCTGCTATCAGTCAGAATGTCATGGAGCTTATCAATATTGTATTTCTAGCATGAATCTGCAAAAAAAGTTATTTTAGAGATCAAAAGAATTAATAGAAAATGTGATAACATAGAATGTCCTATAGCAAAGTTTTCCAAATTTGCTTTATCATAGATGCATAAGTATTTTTTTTTTCTAACAAGGACTCACAAGCTGCTCCAAAACCAAATCTTTTTTTCTTGCTTGCTAAAATTGTTCACTGACAAAGCTATATTCAAAAATCAAAGAGGATGACCCAATAGCTAACCCTTTCTCTTACAGTTCTGTGAGGGGTTGCAACTAGGTGAGAGAAGAAAGGTGCCAGGACACAGAAATTATGCAGGTCCTTGCTCTCAGGGTTAGCCACAGCCCTCACACAGGCACACAACACTGACAATGAGAACCTGCTTAGATTCCTGCCCTTTCTTGCCTCATCCTAGTCTTGGCCCTGATTCTCTGACAGAACATACAGAATGCAGAAGATGTCCTGAAAGGCATGGATGCTAATCAGGGGAGAAAGTGCAGCAGAGTGAGTAATAACCCAACAGTCCAGGCTTTGCCAATGACCACAGGGGTGACCTTAGGCAAGCCGGCAAGCTGGGTCCAAACACTAAATGCCATGATGCAATGCTGTGGCTTCTTCCCCTCCGCTCCCCCCTCCACGCCCTCGTAAATGACCACACACATGCTGTGAACACAACTGTCAACACTTCACAGGCGGCTGCCAGAGGCTGCCCTGGCACCACCATACCCACACTTCCTGTTTCTACGCATCAACTCAGCTCTTCTAGGCCTGAGGGCTCACAGCGTGTGCGAGACGGTGAGACTTAATGAAAGCACCGTCTCGGCCTTTTCATTGGCACATGTCCATGGTGAGCCCTTGGTAATCTATGTTCGCCTTGTGCTCCCCCAATACCCTGTCTTGACCGTGGTGCTGTTGTGTGTTCCATAGCGCCTCCCAACCACGAACCCTGCTAACACTTTCACCCTGTAACTAACAACCACCCCACTTAGCTGCGTCTCTCACTGCTTCCCACCACCAGACTCCCGTTCCCCACCGAAGATACGCTCTCCCTTGTGTCTGTTTATTAGATCACAACACACTCAACATCATGACTCAAGGCCAGGAGTGGTGTGAGGAATACCAGCCTTTGCTGGTATACGGTCTGTTGTTTTCACTGCTTGTCCGAACTCTTGTACTAGGGTTGCATCTACAAGGAAAACTACAGTCCAGGGTGAACGTCTCCTTCCTGAGGCTTTTTCTTGTCAGTTGATGCCTTGATAGTGGAAAAAACCAAAAATAGGAACCTGGCCTTATGGCAAGTTCTTGGTTGTCCACTGCTTATAACAGTGTCCAGTAACTGGTTCTCTGTTCAACCTGCTCTTCCTTATATGCAATAAATAGTTCAAACCTTTTCTATTATGCTCAAATATTTTACTCCTCTTAACCTCTTGTCCTTCTTATCCCTTGCCCTTCAAATAAAAAAAAAAAATACATCCTATCAATTCTTTGTCACATACAAGAGGGCTGCCCCACCCTGGCCCAAGCTACCTTATCTTTTGTCTACACCAAATGCTTGTAAACACATTTTAGTGGAATGCAGACCTGCCCACTCTTTTATGGAGTGCCTATGGCTGCCTGCACTATAAATGTAGAATTAGGTAGTTATGACAGAGACCTTATGGTCTACAGAGCTGAAAATAGTCTGTAATCTGGTCCTTTGCAGGAAAATTTTGTACTATTTTACACTATTTATCTACATTATTGCAAGAACTTCCTGCATGGCCTGTACCACCTTCATGCTCTGTTCTTAGACTCATTTGTTCTCCATAGTATAGCTGGTCATGTATCTAAAATGTTTTCTCACCATACTCAGAAACTTTCAAAGTATAAACCTTCACATTTGGGATAAAATACATATCCCAGCTGGGGGTACAGAGGTGCATGTCTGTAATCCCAGCACTCTGGGAGACAGAAGTGGAAGGATTGCAACCTAATCCTCATCCTAGTAGCTTAACAAAACCCTGTCTTAGAAAAAAATTAAAAAGGGCTGGGTTGTGTCTCAGCGTGAAGGTCCTGGATTTAATCCCTACCCAGTACCTCAGTAAATCAGTAAGCCAATTAAATGCACCATCCCTACTCCAGCCGCCTTGCCCCAGGGTGATCAGCCCCATGTGCCCTTCCACCCTGCCCTTGTGCACTCGGCCCCTTGCTTGTGGCCCCCCAGTGCTAATCTGCTTTTCTGTTCCTCCAGTGTACCACGCTCTTGCATTCCACAGAACTGGGGACTTTTCACTTCCTTTGCGTGGAGACCCATTTTTATCCCTCAACTTGTCCTTCATCCAGTTTGTTGTGCTGTGCTTAAACCAAATGTTTCCAGGAAGCCTTCTCTCTCTCCCGGATTAGGTTAGGTGCCCTGTTCACCTATGACACCTAAGGCACTATGGACTTTTTATTTTAAAGCTCTTATCTCAACTGCTCTTTGCATTTGAAATTATCTGCTTAATATTTGCTTTTTTAGATTAAGTGCATGCATGCTTCATGATAGAAAATTGTTTATTTGGTTTAGAGAAGTAATTTTCAGTATCTGACACAGTGCCTGGCACATGATAGCTACTGAGAAAATATTTGTTGGCTGAATGGGTGATTAGCACCACGGGGCAATAGCGAGAGGAAGACTACAGACACCATTTAGTTTATTGCCTGTCCTGGCCAAAGAATACTAATACTTTTATTATTTTTATCTGTACTTCTAGATTTGGCCATAAAAGTACTGGCTCATGTTATCTCAAGAATGTTTCATTCTTGTCCTGTGTAAGATAAACTGTTCTTCAGTTCTTCTGCTTGCCTATCAATAACAAACATACCTAGTTTTCACAATGTAGAAACTCTAAAAAACCAATATATCCAACCCTGGAAGACTAAAATCATGTCAGCTTGAGGTTGCCCTGCTGGATAGTCCCTCATTGCCCTCCAGATTTCCAGCATTTTCTACTGTGCTCTTGGCCCCAGGAGCCTGTTTCCTTTACCTTCTGCCTTCCGGCTGGGTCTGACCAGTAGGTACCAGCGGCTGAAGATTGGGGGCAGAAGGAGAGCAAGGAGAAGGCATTAAGAGTCTGATTCCCGCGGTTAATGGTGACTTTGCTTCTCTTCCCGAGGGCACAGCTCCTATGGAAGACGTTTCTAATCGCGCATTCTCATGGGCCCTCTCTCTGAAGGCACTTCTTCCTCTTGCTTATTCTGGCTTGGCATACCTCACTATCTCTCTGGCTCCCTTTAACCTGTTCACACCTTTGTTAGTTAAATCTCCTTACTAATTCCTTCTCGAGTGTGTTGCTGTTCTCTGACTAGACCCTGACTCATATGATTCCACTGCCTAAATACATACCAGGAAAATATTTCAAGTGGTTCTCACATGCTTCTGTAGATTGCTCTGCTACTTCCAAGCAAATCTGCAAGCTTGGATGATGTCACCTGATCTTAGGTGTTGTTATACCCAGGTATTCTTTCAGGTAGGCAAGGCATGTGGAAGCAATCAAAAGGGATGTATGCCCCCTTCCAGAGCTTGGCAGTGACAGAATGAAAGCTGCACCTCGACTCTGAAACCCACCCACTGACCTGAGAGCTTCATTTCAATTATTCCCTCCCTACTCACCAGCAGTTGGACAGCTGGGATCCTGGATAAATCATTCTTGGTGATAAAGCCCACTGCAGTGAGTCTAATCCAGGTGAACAGAGTTCAGAAAGCTTGCGAATGTGCAGCTGGCTCTGTGCCCCAATTTAGAGCAGGTCTGGGAAGCATTCCCAGATGGCTCCCGAATGCCATTGCTTTTTATGGCTGCATTCTTGGGGGAGATGAGAAAACACGCATAGGTCTCCTAGCTGCAAACCCAAGCAAAGTGCACACTGTTGTATCTTTAGCAAATGATAACATGCAAAACACACATAGCCAAAGGACTAGAGTGAGACATAGCCATCCAGCTGCACTAATTCACTCTTTAGAGTCAAGAGACAGGCAGGCTAGACGATCCTCTGTCCTGAAGAATTGATTGTCCTTCTTGAAAATGACTGCCCAAGGTTTCAAGCAAATCACAGATAAACCATTATTCTGTGCTTCAATTTTCCCCTGAAAAATAAAAATGTTCTGCTCCTTGGTTTAAAAAGGTGGAGGGATCAGTCACCCATTAAAAATCTTCATAATTTAAGAACAAAAAAAATGCAGAATTAAAAAAATGGAGAATGAATCTTGATTTACCTCCTATGTAGGGGCAGGAGGTAGTTCTTACAGAGGGCCTGATGAGCTGTAATTAAGAGAATGTACTCTGAAACAAGATCATCTATCTGAGTTTGAATCCCAGTTCTGCCACTAACAGTGTGATCTTGGGAAATTAATTTGCTCTCTGTGTCTTTGTTTCTTCATCTGTGAAATGAGATAACGATAGTATCTTCCTTACAGAATTGACATGGAAATTAAATGAGTTATTGTGAGGAAAGCACTTTGAACAACGTGAGAAAAGACTATGGTAATGTTTGAATAAATTGTTATTTCAATAATTATTCATCTGTGTTTCAATAGACACATCTGGAATGTTGATAATTCTGTGGTTTTTCATCATGTTTTGCCTGTAGTGAAAATAACTTCTGGGGTGAAATAACAAACCCTAAGAAACTTGGCTAGCACTGTGGATTGTTAGATCTTGGGAATCCGGCTTACATTTTAGCTGTCATCGGGAAGAGCACACACCTGGAATGCTAAACATTTGAATAGATACACGAACTCAGCATGACAAACTAATCAGTTATGGGCAAAGAACAGGGGGAAGCACCAGGTGGTCTCACCTAGAGGGCTGATTTAGAATAAAGAGATGCTGCTCACACAGACATCTGTCACTGCTAACCGAAGTCTTACTGTGATTCTGCATCCATCACATGCAAAAGTCCTTTCACTTAGGAATCTGTTCCACAAGGTAAATGTACCTATGTGCTCCTCACAAGCTAGGTTACTACAAGTTCTTCCCAGTCCTCTCTTGTCTTCTTAAGTCTCCCATTGGAAACAAGTGACCCATGAAGTTTTGGCTTTTTTTGTTTTATATTGTTTTTGGTACCAGGAATCGAACTCACAACCTCACGCTTGCCAGGCTTATGCCACTGAACTAAATCCCCAGCCCTACCTACCCAGTCTTCCAAGCTTTGGTTTTCCCTGCTGGCTCTGAACTGAAACAAAAGCCCTCCAGGTCAGAGGATGTGCTTTATCTCCAATAGTGCCTGCTTCTCTTAGGGAAGTCCTAATATTTTATAAAAACACTTCAGTTCCTCAGAGAATAGTCTAGCGATCATAAGAGAGGCTCTCATTTCATACCTCAGCAACAATGGCCACTTTTCATTAAGTTCTTATATGTTAGGCACTATGCTGAACACTTTATGTAACATTTTCATTTAATTCTCACCATAATCCTATGAGGCAGGCACAGGAGTTCATTATCTGAGCTCTTAGATCAGCATTGTCTTTTGGAAATATAATAAGAATCACAAATGTGGGCTACTGGTCCAGTGTGTCTCCCAAGAGTTCATGTATTGCTGACACTTAGTCCCCACCGTTGGGAGAATTAAGACAGGGTGGGACTTGGAAGAGTTGGGGGTTAGTGCAGGGTAATTGGATCACTGCGGGTGATGACCTCATGAGAGATTAATGCTAGTTTTGCCCAGTTAGTCCCCACAGGAGTGAATTTTTTCCTGGTACCATGGATTGAACCCAGGGGCTTTGCACTGAGCCACTGCCTCAGCTTCCTGAAGCACTGGGGTTATAGGCATGCACTGCTACTCCTAGCTGAAGAGTGAAGGTTAAAAAGCACCACTGACCCTTCTTGCTTTCTCACTTTCTGGATTGTCATGTGATTGCTTTTTTTAAATTCTTGATACTATTTTTTTTTTCCAAAAAAATTTTTTATTTTGAAAGTATACAACAGAACAAGTCAGAATAAAGCCAACTAAGATCGTACAGTGAAATTGGTACAGAACTTCACAGCAAGTTAATGGGATAACAGTAATAGGTATCACAGTATATTTTGTTATCTTTATAATAGTTGTTCTTTCAATCACATATATCAATATGAGATGAAATATAGAACACTATAGAACTTAGCAAAACAGAATATTGAATAGAGCAGTACCATTAATCAGAAAAGAATGAAACAGTAATAAAAATATTTGCCTTCAAAGAAATGATAGAAGGAAGTCCCCCTTATTTGCTATGGTCAATCTCCCAGGAGATGCCCAGATTTCTGGTTCCCATTTGCTAATGGGCGGGGAGGAGGAGGAGGAGGAGGATAGGGGAAGTGGGATATTAGACTCTAGGCCATGTAGCAGTAGGTTCACTATTGCTAAGCAGGGAGGCAGGATGGTCATTTCTTTTCACAGCATCCTCAGTTCCAACATGGCGTGGACCTCAGGAGACACTGCTGGTTCTCCCCCTGGAAGGGCTGCAGTCTGCCACCCTGCCTCCACTTACCAGGGAGGGGAGGTGCTTGCTTGGCTTCCCAGAGTCCTAAGTTCCAACATGGCGTGGATCTCAGAAGACACTCGATTGCTTTTTGCTGTGCTCTACCCTATGATACAATGGACTATGAAGTGTTTACCAGATGCTAAATTGTTGGGACCACCTGACAATGGACTCCAAGCCTCAAAACTATGAACTAAATAAATTTCTTTTCTTATGCATTACCCAGCCTTAGGTTTTGTATTGTAGCAATGGAAGAACTGACAATTACAGCTGCATATGTAATTCTGAGTTTTCTAGTTTCCACATTCTAACTGGTATGAAAAAACAAGGAAAGCTAATCTGCATATGTATTTTGTTTAGCCCAATATTCCTTAAAAATTGGCATTTTAGCCAGGCGTGGAAATACATGCTAACAACTCAGAACTTGGCAGGATATAGGAGGAGTGTTGTGAGTTGGAAGACTCAGTTCAAGGCTAGCCTAATCTATAGCAAGACCCTGCCTCAATAAGAAAAAGAAGACATTTCAATATGTAATTAATACAAAAGTTATTAAAGAGTTATTTTACATTCTTTTTGTATACCAAGAATCCCAAATTCCAATTCCAATTAGTAAGTTTAGAAAGATTGAGGGAAATAGAAAGTCACCATTTGTCAAACACTAGAGTAACAATTTTTTTATTTGTACATATTTGCAGTACAAGGCTAGGAGTTTAGCTCAGTGGCACAAGCAGCTGACTGACAAGCATGAGGTCGTGAGATCAATTCCCAGTACAAAAAAAAAAGATGGTATTTATAGTACACAATGCTCACGTTCATTGTGCGGAACTAGTACATGTACACAGCACACCTTAATTCTTTTTATTTCCCCTTTCCCTCTTCCCCTTCACTCCATCTCTGTGTCCCTTTCTCATTTGTGAGAGATCCATTTCTGTTTCCTTTTGTCTATCTTTTCTTTTTTTTTTCTGCTCTTAAATTTAATAGTTTGGGTTTTCATAAAAGAGAAGCCATGTGATATGTAAGCTTGTCTTACTCATTTCTCTTAACTTGATGGTCTCTATTTTCCTACTAATGACTCAAAATTATTCTTCTTTATAGCAGAGTGGTACTGTATTATGTGTAAATATCACATTTTCTCTATCCACTCATCTGTTGATGGACATATCAGCTGTTTCCAAAATATAGCTATTATAAATTGTGCTACTATAAACATGGATACACATATTCCACTGTAATATAATGTCTTTAACTCTTTGGGGAAGATTCCTAGAAGAAGGTTAAATGGAATTTCTAATTTTAATGTTTTGAGGACTTTTCATACTGATTTCCATAAAGTCTGTGTTGGTTTATATTCCCACCAACAATGTAGAAGGGTTCCTTTTCCCCCACAGCCTTGCCAGCATTTGTTATTATTTGATTTCTTTATAATAGCCATTCTTTCTGGAATAGAATGTAATCTCAGTGCTACAATTTGTATTTTTCTAATGACCAGAGATGTTAAATGTGTTTTATGCATTTACTGGTCACTTATGTTTCTGAGAAGTGTCTATTCATTTCAGTTGCCCATTTTCTGATTGGGTCTTTTATTTTAAAAGGTCTTTTTTTTTTAGTTTTTTATATATTCTAGATATTAATCCCTTGTCTGAGGAGAAGCTGGCAAAAAACTTTTCATTCTGTAGATTGTCTCTTTACTCAAATGTTTGTTTTCTTTGCTACACAGATTTTTAATTTGATGTAATTTCATTTGTTGATTCTTGATGTTATCACTTGTGCAATTAGGGTTCTGTTTAGAAAGTCCTTACCTATGTTTTTAAGAGTTTTACATAGGGGGTAAATTATATACTCCATAGGTAAATAATGTAAAATAATATACCTGAATGTATATTATTATATTCCAGCAGAGTATTTGTTTCTGCTTTAACATTTAGGTCTTTGATCCATGTTTATTTTATTTTGGTACACAGAGATAAATATGGGTATTGATTGGATCTGCTGCATGGGTTTAACTAGTTATTCCAGTACTACTTGTTAATGAGGCATTTCCTCCAAATTATAACCTTTGACTCTTTGTCAAAGATCAGGTGATTTGATGTGCCTGGGATGCTTCTACATCTTCTATTCTGTTCTGTTGATTCTTGTGTCTGTTTTTGTGCCAGTACTATGCTGTCTTTTGTTTGTTTTGTTTTGTTTTTTAGGGATTGAACTCATGACTGCACACTTGCAAGACAGGCACTTACATCACTGAGCTAAATCCCCAGTCCTTCC